CGGGTAATTTAAGTTAGCAGAAACCATTGAGTTATTCGATTTCTTTTTCTTATCAAAAATCTTTGTAAAATAATAAACTCTTCAAAAGGTTGTAAGCAGTTTCATCAATATCATTATCTTTATGGGGTCTGTCAGATTTTCCCGTGATGTGATCAGCCTGGTGCGCTTTTGATCAGGTATCAGAAGACGTGGCACCGACCGAGCAGAATCCTTCGTCATGCCAAGATCCTTCTGAAGAATATTCTCAAATCTCTCAGGGGATATGCTAATAGAATTGGCTATTTGATTTATAGACGATCGCCTATCATCCGTCACCATGTGATGAAAACGATCAATGCTTTCTTCGGTGGTTGCAGTCACAGGAGCTCCAGACTTTGGGTCATCTTCATGACTCTCCCTTCTTCTCATAAATTCAGCTGCCACTTTTGTATTTTTGATAAACCTGGGACGTCATCCCCTAATGTAGTAACCATGAATGTCTTTAGGGGTTAAATCCTTTCCCTGTAGATACTTGATAAGGCCACGATGCCAAATTTTGTCCATTTTCAAGAGAAGTCGCAAGTTACTTTTGATGTCTTCTTTGAATGGTCAGATGTCAGTTGACCTGGACAGAAACAATGCAATTATTGATAAGAAGAGTTGAAATTAGTGAACGCAAGATTTCAGCTTATGAACTTTTCATCCCACCCTCGTAGAATAACCTTTTCAATAAAATCAATAAGTGCTAAAATTTTCATTAAAATCGATCAATTTCCCGATTTCTAGTATTTTCTTTTTAAATCTCAGGATGGGGTTTTCATGTTAAAGTGGGTATGACTTTCGGTTTCACAAATATTTTATGTTATCAGTCTATGCGCTTTAGATCAGTTGTCAGAAGACGTCGCAAGCTGGAACGTCATCCCCCTAATGTACTAACCATGTATGTCCTTGGAGGATAAATCATTTTTCTGCAGGATCTTGATAACACCATGATGTCAAATTGTGTCCATTTTCAAGAGAAGTCGCCAAGTTACTTTTGATGTCTTTGAACGGTCAGATGTCAGTTTACCTAGACTGAAACAATGCAATTATTAATAAGAAGATTTGAAATTGGTGCATGCAAGATTAGATTAGGATGGTTGTTTCCACTGTGTACATTGCCTTTTCTCTCTCTCTCTCTCTCTCTCTCTCTCTCTCTCTCTCAAAGTGATGAACCCAACGCTCATCCTGGGTTATGAAACGTTCAAGTAAACCAGCTGTATTTGCCTCAGACAATGTCAAATTTTGCTGTGATGTTATCAATCTATGCGCTTTTGATCAGGTGTCAGAAGACATGGCAAGCTGGAACGTCATTCCCAATGCAGTAACCATCAATGTCCTTGGGGGGTTAAATCCTTTTTCTGCAGGTACTTGATAAGGCCACGATGCCAAATTGTGTCCATTTTCAAAAGAAGTCGCTAAGTTACTTTTGATGTTTTCTTCTTTGAACGGTCAGATGTCAGTTGACCTGAACTGAAACAATGCAATTATTGCTAAGAAGAGATGCAAGATTTCTCAGCTGTAGCGCCACTCCTTCAGAGTCAGCCTGTGAACAGACCCAGGTTTTCTGCTCAATAACAAAGGAACAAGTTAGGGGATCACTTGTTACCTTTATTTAAATTTACTTTTAGACTACTTATATATGCAAGAAGTTTTTATATAAGAGAAGTAAAATTCAGTTGCAATCTCACTGTTATATATATATATATATATATATATATATATATATATATATGTGTGTGTGTGTGTGTGTGTAGAAGAACGAACAGTAAGATCTCAGCATTCAAAACATTGAGTTAAAAAGTGCTCAATAAAAAGGTAGAGCCGTAAATATTTCCTTATGCAGTGTTGCATTAGAACAAAATGTACAATTTTGTAGGGGATATGTTCATGTTCTAATGAAACACTGCATAATATATATATATATTTTTAAGCGTTTCACCCCAAGCAAGGCGGGAAGCCACTAGGACGCAAGGGGTTACAGAAAATTTGGAGCAAGATCAGATAGGAGTGATAGAAGAAAGGATGAGGAAAAGGGTAGTGGATAGATCAAGGCAACTGGAGATACAGAGGCCAGTAAGAGAGAGAGAGAGAGAGAGAGAGAGAGAGAGAGAGAGAGAGAGAGTACTGGAACCCCTTCCTAAACAAGAAACAAGGCGTAAGCCTCTACTTATGTCCAATTTCTGACTAGTAGGGATAATTCAAAGGAGGATATTAATCCTAGAGCGGTCAGTGTAAATTACAGAGTATAATAATAATAATAATAATAATAATAATAATAATAATAATAAATAAATAAATAAAAACCCTTAAAGATCCATTTCGGATATAATTTATTTCGTGAATAGTATTATATTCATCTCTTCAGATCGAAAGTTGTTAATAAAAGGATTTATTAGGCTAGCTAATTTGAATTTGTGATGATTATTGCTGTCTAAAATAATTATCTATATATTGATTTTTTTTGTATTTTATCTGTTATTTTTTTATTTAAAATCCTTTTCATTTTACTTTATTTTATTTTAATTAATTTATGTATGTTGCATATTATTATTATTATTATTATTAGTGTTATCTTTATTAGACAAATTTGAATTTGTGATATATATATATATATATATATATATATATATATATATATATATAAAATAAAATGAAGAAAAAAACTTTAAAGATCCATTTCAGTTATAATTTATTTCGTGAATATTGTTATACTCGTCTCTTCAGATCGAAAGTTCTTAATAAATGGCGACAATTCATGCGTGCTGATATATTAGATCAATAAGAGGAAGAGAAAGCTAGATGAAAAGGGAAGAAAGAACATATTTTCGAATAAAAAACCTCCTTTTAAAACATATAAGAGAGAGAGAGAGAGAGAGAAGGAGTGAGAGAGAGAGAGAGAGAGGGAGAGAGAGAATTAAGGAAGGGAAAAAGAAGAAAGAAGAAATAAATGAGGGAATGGCAATAAAACTAAAACAGAAAAAAACCTGGCAAAGATTTTTTTTTCCTTAAAGGGTTAAAACAAATTTGTACAGCGGGTGATGTACTGATTGGTCAAACTTGAAAAACTTACAGCAAATTGTCCAATAAAGCCTGTTATTTTAGGCAATAATAATCGTCACACATTCAAATTCAGTCAGATTTATGTACTATGCGTGATACATCCACGGCTATAGAAACCCCGGTAGCGATCAATGTACCTTTCTTCCCAAGGGATACATAAGCATGACACGCTTAGGCATATATTTCAGATACACGACTGACGAGGCAGTAGGTTGCCATTTCTTTCTGCGTTAGGCCAGTTGCCATCAAAAGCTATAGAACCCGGCCACTCTTGCTATTTATCCATAGCCGGGAGGAGAAGAGGATTCATACCTTTCCCAAGGGTCAGTCAGTCAGTTATGTGCCATGCATGATACACGGTTAAGCGGTCATGTATCTTTCGATACATGACTGACGAGGTAGATTTTTTCCCGCATTAAGTTGCCATTTCTTTCTGCGATAGACCAGTTCCCATCCAAGGCTATAGAACCCGGTCAGTCCTGCTATTTACCCCTGAATCTAAACTTAAAACATTAAGCTAGTATTCTTGGAAGTTGTTAAGAGAACACTGAGAACGTTCTCGAAGATCCTGGGGAAAAAATAAAACAACAAAAAAAAAAAACCGTCCAGGATCTCGATTAATAGAAGAATGAAATGATGGCATTATTGAAAACTGTTTGAATATTGAGTCGGATGATGGCGAGGATCAAGAGACTTGCTGTCACTTTACCTTCACTGTAAGATCTTTCTTGTATGAATAATCAGTATGAATACTACTACTACAACTACTACTAATAGGTGAGGATTTAACCTACATTGTGAACCACCAATCACTTTTAGTGTGAATATTCAATGAGTAAACTAAATAAAATAAATGGTAAATTCTGTCTCTCCGTTCGTGTGTTTGAAACCCTTCTAACTTGGGACACACTTGCTCAACATTGATATATCTTAAGTTTTTTGGAATAAGGGTGATCCTGGGATTGAAAATCTATGTTTTATCTTGTATTTGAACATTCAGTATTAGAATTTGTGTCCGGATGAGGAGGGAAATGTTAAGAATTCAAATTTTAAAATAAAAGAAAAAACAATTGCTGATTTTAAGAGTTTTTTTTTTTTTTTTAAAATTTATACTGAGTTTAAAATAACACGAAAACATTGTGAATTTAATCATTTTTCTTTGAAATTCAATTTAAAAAATCTCCAAAAACTTTGTGAAATGAGGAAATCAATTTTCTTTCTTCAAAATGCCAAGGAATCAGAATTAAAGCGAGAGGTTTCGTCCCGTAAGGTTTTGAAAATCCGCAGAGTTTGCGATTTCAAGAACTTAATTTTCGGCCTGAATTGGAATTTCGGCCCAAATCGAAATTTCGGCCCAAATCGGTTTTGGGCCAGAATTGAACTTATAGCCCGAATCATAATTTAAGTGAAGTTTTGAAGTTCCATGGAGTGAATTGGGGAATTCAAAGATATTTCTTCAAAATTACCATTGCTGGTTTCTAAGCTGGATTAGAGATCCCTTTAGTTTTGTGACGGGAGGGGCCTAATTAACCCTAAACATTAATAATAGTAATAATAATAATAATAATAATAATAATAATAATAATAATAATAACACAGATATTTATCACCTGAGGAAAAACGTAGTACATTAAATTACTGTTCATCTATCCCTGATATATATATATATATATATGTGTGTGTGTGTGTGTATGTATACATCGATAAATATGTATGTATGGTTGGTTGTATGTATGGTTGCAAAAGAAAAAAATACTGTGTTGAAAATTGTTTTGATGAGCAATCGACAAAATGAAGTTTGTAAACCAAAAATCGAAGATTGATTGATCGTCAAACATCAAAAACGCGAGCAACAGCATTCATTGATCATGAATATATTTTATGTTGCTTTTGTATAAATTGAAGTTTCTGATCTATGTATGTATGTATGTGTGTATCTATCTATCTATCTATCTATCTATCTATCTATCTATCTCAGTTTGTTCATCTCTTTATTTATAATTTTTCTCCCTCTTTCTTTCTTTCTTTCTTTCTTTTTTTCTTTCTTTCTTAGTCTGTTCGTATCTATCTATCTATCTATCTATCTATCTATCTATCTATCTCAAGTGTTCATACATATCTACCCTCGTAAGTTATCTGCCAATCTTTTTTCCTCTCCAACTCAGCATTTCTATTAGGATTTCGCTTTCGAAATTTATTTACTCAATCTTGATATGAATCGTCATTTGCGAATTATTCTCGCCTCTTATTTCAGAAAATAAAATTATTTGTTAAATTGGTAATTTCCGTTATGGCGGCAAAATCCGCTCTGCAGAGGAATTGCATCTCACACAATTTCATCGGTTAACACTCCTTACTACTAGTACTTCACGTACGACTAAAAATGACTAATAATTCTGCTATAGCGTATATTACGACATAGATGCTTGTCTTTATAGTATCTAGAAACACACACGCACACACTAGTATATCTTTTATTAATCAAACACACACACACACACATATATATATATATATATATATATATATATATATATATATATATATATATATGTATATATATATATATACATACAATGTAACCGGATATAAGAGAGTTGTCGGGACCGGAGAAGAAGTCTCTTATATCCGGGTTTGGTCTATATGTATACATAACACAGGCTCTAATTTGGGACCAGAGAAATTCTCTCTTCTATCCGGGTTTCTCTTATATCCGGGTCTCTCATATTTGGGTTACACTATATATATATATATATATATATATATATATATATATATATATATATATATATATATATATATATATATATATATCCGAGGAATAATGGATAGCGGCCCGGATTGAGGAATCGAGAGCTGAGTTCGAATTCAGTCAAAACCGTTACATTCACTTACGTACTACTACCCTTGAGAAAGGTATGAATCTTCTTCTTCTGTCCCCACCCCACCCCAAGTCATTGGTAAATAGCAGGATAGATTGGGTTCTATAGCTTTGGATGGCAACTGGTCTAGGAGAAAGACAACTCTGAATTCAAAACCTCCGAAGGGTTGTTTTGGGGGGACCGTGTGCCACGTAATGCCCCAGGTCTCTGTATTCAGCCCTTCAAAATGTGTGGTTGGTTCTGCACAAAGCTTTCACCACTATAATCAAATCATATGTGCAGGTTGTCTGGGCTGTCGGTCCCTAGGAACTGAGCTGCTTGACCCTCATACGTCGCTAAAAGACGGAGATATATATATATATATATATATATATATATATATATATTTGGTTGGATAGATGTGAGTTTGTGACCCTGGGTTTCCCTTTAGCGATCGTCAGACAAATTATTTATTCTTAATATAATAATATTTTAATATTTAATATTTTAAATAACTGAATTTGCAGTTTTTAAACGAATAAAAGGATTTAATTATTAGCAAATGTTTCCCGACAAAACTTTTTTGACAAAATCTTTTATTCATATAAATTCATCACAGGGCACTTCGTCGTGGTATGATCGTTAGCCTGCTTGTCGCGCTAGCATATTTACATCTGGGTAGCGAGTTTGATCCTCACTGGGTTTCCCATATTTTCGGCATTGTGCTACATCTAAGATTTTCGGGGAGGGTAAAAAATTTTAAGCCTAAGCCCCAGGGAGTCTCCTGCCCGCCAAACAATATCCTTCTTTCAGGAGGAGACTGGGTATACTGCTCGGCGCCTAAGCCTCTCAGCATTTGTCCTTTTGGGAAGTGGCGTAGGCAATTTTTCAACGGTATTGCCAGTAAACCCTCTCTAAACTTCGACCTTGTGTCACACGCGGCAGTGACGTGGGCGGGCTGAAAAATACGATCTGAGCTACGCTTAGAAAATCGCCATATAAATCCATTGTATCATCAATCAAACATCAAAGTCTTTATATGTACTACTATTATCTTAGTACACTTTTCGGGCAAAATATGTATCTAAAAAAATAACAATTATAGTTTTAATTCATTGAAGTGATAGTCAGAAAATAACGTGTCCGGAGAATCCAGTGCCTATAGACGAACTTTATATTCTGACTTCAGGCTCGGTTTATTTTTTGAAAATTTCAACAATTTGTAATCAAGAATTACCTTCGAATCTTACCAAAGGCAGATTAGAGTGGGTTTACTGGCAATACCGTTTGTCTGACGATCGCTAAAGCGTGAAACCCAGGGTTACAAACTCACATCTATCCAACCAAATATGTTAGCTCTATCTCTGATATTGAGCGCTTTCTAATAAGTACCACGCATATAATATATAAATAATTATACATATATATATTTATTTATATTTATATACACTTTTCACACACACATACACACACATATATATATATCGCATATATAATGCTGGTGTTAATAGATCACTGCTCGCTGCAATAAAACAGAGCTATTAAGTATATAATAAATATACATATTTTTCCTCACGTTAGCACGATCGCAGTTTCATGCGCAACGCAAGTTTCAGGTGCTGAGCATAGACTGACCTTTACGTAAATTAAATTTTAAATAAAATATCTGGTTATCACATTGTTGGTGCAGTTATATATTATACTGGGATTGCAGTTGTTTTAATTATATTTGTCATTTTTAATTATATTTGGCATTTTTAATTATATTTGGCATTTAAAATAAGCCGGATTTTATATGAAAAATATTATTTCAGACTTTATATTAAACATAAAATGAGATTACTTGTTCTTAAAAGCACTAATCATAATTTACATTAAAATTAGTCTGGACGAACTTATTTGAGCAGATATTTATTTTTATGCCTACATATAACCATCCATTCTTTTCTTTGGTTTAAGAAGCCCAGGTTATTTAAGTGTTTTTAACAAGATATAGCCTTTACCATTGTAAGATTTGGCTCTTGCTACAATATCCCACGTGTTAATAATTGTATGGCCACCATTATTTAATTGCCAGAAATATTTAAAGAGAGCAGTGCTGTTTTTGTATTTCCAAGGATTTTCAGTGGAATCAATATATATATATATATATATATATATATATATATATATATAATGTCATCGACAGATAGACTGTTTCGCTTTATCACACCTCATCAATGTGACTAGACGTCCGGTAGCTAGGATCGAAACCCGGCTGAATTAGCGATAGTCGGAGAATCTGCCCGTAAGGGATGAAGGTAAATTTTAGGTTATTTATTTTTAGATAAACACGCCAGTGACTGACTGAGAGAACTCAATTCGTTTTTTTTAGAAGAGTATTGCATTAGTAGCAGTAATAAACTGTTTACAAACTCACACTTTCTCCCCCCGAGAGCTGAACCGAAATAATTTTTCATAGATATTGTCATCCACAGGCATACTGTTTCGCTGTATCACAGCTCATCAATGTGGTAGACGGCCGGTTGCCTCTAGCTCGGATCGAATCCCAGCTGTATTGGCGTCAGTCGGAGAATCTACTCCTAAGAGATGAAGGCGAATTTTTGCGTATTTATTTTTAGATAAACAAACCAATGACTGAGAGAACTTGATTCGTTTTATAGAAGAGTATTGCAGGGGTGGAAAGATTATATTGAATGACTTGCTAGATCTGCTGTTAGGAAAGTTCGTTCACTGTGTTTAATCACTTTCCCACCACCGTATTGTCATGGTAAATATTCTGATGGACTTTCCTCTGTAGTGCATAGACCTTGTGAATTTAAGCACAGTGCTAGTTTGGCGGCTAGGTCTCATATCGCACTTCTCGCTTGAGGAACTCTCACCCGGCTTCTTGCTTTCCAGTCAACTTTGATCTTGAAAAATTAAAGTGCAATGTCAGTCGTTATCTACTGTCTTCCTGATTACTCTTTTATTGTTCTCACTCAATTTTCACTTGTGGAACTCTCTTCCGGCCTCTTGCTTTCCTGTCAACTTTGATCTTCAGAAATTGAAATGCAATGTCAATCGTTATCTACTGTCTTCCTGATTACTTTTCTATTGTTCTCACTCAATTTTCACTTGTGGAACTCTCTTCCGGCTTCTTGCTTTCCAGTCAACTTTGACCTTCAAAAATTGAAATGCAATGTCAATCGTTATCTACTGTCTTCCTGATTACTCTTCTATTGTTCTCACTCAACTTTCACTTGTGGAACTCTCTTCCGGCTTCTTGCTTTCCTGTTAACTTTGATCTTGAAAAATTTAAATGCAATGTCAATCATAATTTACAGTCTTCTTAATTCCACCTCTTGTATTGTTCACGCCCCTTAATATTTTTAAAATATTCTTTAACAGTCGGTAACCACCCCAGCCTCTTAGTCTCTTTGTTGCCTTAATTCTTGGGAACTGATAAGCAAGTGTTGTGTCGTGACCGTTGATATTATGCATCTGTGAATTTCGGATTCAAATAATGGGAACGTCCAAAGATGCCAGTCTGAAATCAAGTGAGTTTTCTATCTGGGATCATGGTTGAATTTCTGCAAAAAAACATAATCGTTAGAATTGCAATTATCAAAAAAAAAAAAAAAAAATGAAAGAAAAAAGGAAACGAAAATGTAAATGAGACACATCAATTTGTTAGTCCAGCTCCTGTCAAATACGCTGTAGCATGTATTGCGTAACATTCTAGTACGTCTCAGTGAATCTCTGCTTATGTTCCTCTACACTTGTAGGAAAACGGAGGGATATATACACCTGTCCTTTTAAATAGCACCATAGAAATAAATCACAAGGTGAACATGGTGTACATTTCAACAGCACACAGACATTATCACTGATTCTCCCGATCCATCTTCCTGGTAGATTCTTATTGAGATAAGTCCGCACTGTCAACTTAGATTTCACACCATTTGTCAATACTACGAAATGAAATTTTTTGATGTTAATTTTTATATATATATACTCTTTATATATATATATATATATATACATATATATAAAGAAAGAACAGTAAGATATATAAT